TGTGTGTGTCTGTATCTAAAATAACACTCAAAAGTGAAAGAATATGTTGTTGTGTTTGTGATCTCTGCAGGTGTTTCGGGGAGGATGTGTGTATTTCCGTCCCTGATATTGAGGCGGTTGTCATGGTAATGCAGCCTAGTGAACCATGCATCACAATCACTGGGGCGGAGCACCTGACCGTCCCCGCCTCCGACCTTGCCCTCGGCCTATCCCTATTCAGAGATTTGCATATCATCAGCACAGTAACAAAAAGCGACGGACAGACAAACACAGGTAGAACCATTTCTAGAATCACCTTTCTTCTCTTAATGGGTAATTTGTTCAAAATTATTATTTACTCACCTTCATATCATTCTAACTTAAAAATTTAAGTTATATATTGTAGTGCTTTTTCAAACCTGTTTTGACCCACCATATTGAATATACAGGAATGAGAATGTGTTTTATCATCATTTTTGGAGCTTGACAGGATCCATTCTATGCCAAAGTGTAGAAAGCATCCTTCTCAACTTTTCCTTGTTTGTTGAACAAAAGAGAGAAAGCCAAAGACATGAGGGAGAGTAAATGATGACAGATTTGTCCTTTTTGGCTGAAGTATTTCTGCAACAAAAACACTCCTGATGAAAACAACCCACAAAGAAAGTCCCCAAACGCTGCACAGAGCACATTATTCACTGACAAACCACAGGTGTAATGCTGTTTTGGTGGCAAACAACAGTAAATGCAAAAAAACATGTTAATAAATCATAAAAGACAGATGCTCACTAAACCCTCCACCCTCACAACACAACACAACACTACACAGAATCTGAAACGCCTCTCCCTCCTTTATCCTCAGGGCTTATACTGTATGTTTACTTTAAATGGGACAAATCATGTTAAACTATATTTTCCTTGCTCTTTCCAATTAAAGTTTCAGTCACTATGTAGATATTCATTAGCATTCAAAAATTTGGGGTCAGTAAGATTTTTTTTTTTTTTAAGAAATTAATACTTAAATTCAGCAAGGATGCATTAAATTGATCAAAAGTGAAAGTAAAGACATTTATAATGTTACGGATGTTACAAAACATTTCCCTTTGAAATAAATGCTGTATCCCATTTTTTCCTTTTCCTTTTTTTTTCTTTTAATTCTCCTTTTATTTATTTGGAGTTTATGTAATGTTTTTCTTTTGCGTTTTGTCTGATGTTTGAGGAGACAATTCACCCAAAAATACAAATTTGATAAAAAAAAATTAAAAAAAACACAACCACATAAAAGTAGTCCACTTGGCTTATGGACTATATGGTATATTATTGAAAAGTATGGAAATTGTAGCAGACAAAGAAAGGAAGGGTTATTTTTATTATTATTCATAATTTGTTTCATCTTTGTATGTGTGCAGATCACAGGTCAGGTGCATTGAAGGAAATCGCACATAATCTGGACTACTGTGACATTATGGTGTTGGGGGAGGGGTTAAGGGCAGGGCTAGAGAGTCTGGAACTGCACCACAGCGCTTTATTGGGCAAACACCTGCAATACGTCAACTCTAGCACTGGCATGTCCATATACGGTAAAAACACTAACTCTACAATTTACTTTTGTTACTCCCTATACAACTGTCTCACATCTTTCATCTTCTGTTTTAGGTGTGGACTCTGTTTGTCACTACGCAGAGGTGATCAGACAGGTGCGTTATCAGAGCCGTCAGGCTGTCGACTCCATCCGCACCTTCAGACTCACCTGCTCTGAGCTCAACGGACGTTACACCAGCGATCAGTATATGTTACAGGTGTGAACCAAACAAAGAAATGCACTAACTGAGCCACGGCTCTGATCTATGGCCTAAAGATGCTCTCTATCACTCTTTCTCCAAGATCAACATCCTTCACAGTGAGGAAGCTACTGAACATGTCAATCATGCGATGGCTCCGCCCAAATACATGCAAATTATTCATCCTACAGTCACAGAATCTAACAGCTACAGCTTAGGTGAGTGAAAGTCATAATGATTGTGTCGGAATGAATTAAGTGTGTCTGTGATTGTTCATTTTGATAAGAGAAACATTAGCTGAGGTGATACCAAACATACTTTATTGATTTATGAATCTCAGTTAATATTATTTTATACATTTCTTAAGTTATACACTACCACTCAAAAGTTTGGGGTTGGTAATATTTTTGAAAGAAGTTACTTCAGGCTCCATTTATTTGATCAAAAACACAGTAAAAATATTGTGTAATATTGTGAAATATTATTACAATTTAAAGTAATTTGAATATATTTTAAAATGTAATTTATTCTTGTGATCAAAGCAGAATTTTCAGCATCATTACTCCAGTCTTCAGTGTCATATGATCCTTCAGAAATCATTCTAATATGCTGATTTGCTGCTTAAGAAACATTTATCATTATTATCAATGTTGGAAACTCTTTTTTTCTGCTTCATATTTTTTGTGGAAACTGTGATACATTTTTTTTTCAGGATTCTTTGATGAATAGAAAGTTCAAAAGAACAGCATTTCTTTAAAATATAAATCTTTTGTAACATTGTAAATGGTTTGCTGTCATTTTTGATTATTTTAATGCATCTTTTCAGAATAAAGTTAGTAATTTCTTAAAATAAAATAAAAATCATACTGACCCCAGATTTTTGAACTGAAGTTTATAAAGTACTGTTAATGTTTTATGAAGGAACAAGAAATAACAATTAACAATAAAATTGTTAAAAAATAAAAGTATATTGTTCATTGTTAGCTCATGATACTTAATGCATTAACTAATGTTAACAAAATGTCATTCAAACAGTATTTTCAATATATCGTACCATGTAGGGTTGGGAAACACAGAACTGGTTCCAGTTTATAACCAATGCCAGTGTAGTCTGATTTTTGAACAAATGATTCTTTAAAAAAAAAAAATACTTAAATCAGGTTATGAATCACTTACTGAATCAGTTGGAAGGGTTATTGACTTTGACTTAACCGCTAGTTATTACTTTCATAAACTCAAATGAACCAAAAACTGTAACTATGTTACTTAAGATTCACATTCAATACAGTTTGATTCAGTGAGGCTTCCTTAAAAGTACCAAAAGAATCATTGCAATCATTAAGAAACCAACTGACAAAAAACTCAGTAAAACTAGGCAATTATTTATTACAACATACTAAACAGATGTGACTGTCATCCCTCACAGCTTCAAGTCAAATTATGACATCTACTCTAAAGTCTATAGGGTGTAAGATTTAGACGTGTTTATTGTCTTTCTGTAGTTGTCCTTGCCGTTGCTACTGCGGTCATTGTGGTGTGTATCGCCGCCCTGCTGGTGGTGCTGCTGAGTGTTTACCGCCTCAACCAACCACAAAACCAAGAGCACATTCACACACACACGCTGCCAGAGAAACAAGCGGACTGTGACAGATCCTCTCTCTCCATCACCGTCAACCCTCTGGAGGTACGACAAACCGTCTACATGCTCAAGCAACACAAGACACCATAACGTAAAGAAGCTGCCAAAATGATGACGCCTGTCAAACTGCCACAGCATGCACGAGTCTCCGTGAAAACGAAAACTTTTCTTTATAGCTGGTAGGACAGAACAGCAGTCACACAATCAGCTAGAGCTGAACAACTGATTTAAACACAGTCGTTTCTAAAAAAATATATATATATATATATATATATAAAAAAATGAAATACTAAAGTTGTGTGAGAGATCATTGGCCTAGTATTTTGCCATGAAGTTGGACATGTCATGTTCCTCAATCAATATCTCTTTTGGTCCAACATCTTTATAAACCAATCAGATTTGAAGGTTAGTGTTTCAATAACATTCTACCAAGACTATCCTTTCCCTCTGGTTTTATAGGTAGTTAACGGTTAGTTAAGAATTGGGAATTGGGCAAAGTTAAAATACTCAGAGATTCAATAGTATGGCCACTAAATGTAAATCATTTAAGTGTTAGATGGATAGTTCACCCAAAAATTAAAATTCTGTCATCATTTACTCACCCTCATATCGTTCCAAACCTGCATGCCTTCTTTCTCTGAAACACAAAAGAAGACATTCTGAAAAACAAAAGTGCAAGTCATACATGAAATGACATTAGTGTGAGTAAATGATGATGGAACTTTTAGTTTTGAGTGACACGGAACTCCATAAACCCTAAAATAACTCACTTTTTTTTTTTTTTTTTTTAAACAGCTTTACATCTCAGATACATGTTTTAACAGAATTTAAAATGTGTTTTTTCTAAAATGAAAAGCTTCACATTTCTGCCACTAAAATTGGCCCCATTAAGTGCCTCATTGTAGCTTTGATTTGTGCTTTTTAAAGAAAAGGAGGAATGAGACGAAATGAATTTTTGTAAATTTCCACATTCACATCACTTCAAAAACTCTGTATGACTTACTTTCTTCCTGAATCTTCACAATTGCAGTGAATTTTCTTGTATATAACTATAAATGATGTCTCCTCCTCAGCACAAAATCCTGTGAAAAATTAAGAAAACACTGTGACAAAGCAGAATTGTAATGTTTAGATAATCAACCAAATTAATATTGAGTATTACAGCTGAACAAGATGTTTAAGTGTTCAATAGTCAAATTTTGAAGCATGTTCACATTGCTCTTTTCCTTCCAATGAAAGCTGTCGAGCTCCCGAAACTGGCAAAAACATCATAAAAGCATAATAAGAGTATTTGTCTAATATTCCAAGTCTTCTGAAGTTGTATGACAGCTTTTTGTGCCGAACAGGCTGATATTACTTTATTTACTAAAATTACAGCTTGACAGCCATATTCACCATTCATGTTCTTTGTTCGGAAAAGAGCAGCTTGAACTTTCAGCTATAAATATCTTCTTTTGTGTTCCCCGGAAGAAAGTAAGAGTTAGGGCTGCACGATTATGTCAACAAATATAATTGCCGATAATTCCCTTGAAATTGTAATTTTTTGTAACGATTTTCACAATTTACATTGAATGATGTTTTGATTAGCTTTATGCCATTGTTTGAAGGGGTAGGTTTAGGGTTAGGTTGGGGTAGACGTTAATAAAACAGAATGTGATAGGTAGCAAATTTAATTTATTCTTATTTTATGGCGAGATTTTGCGTCACTTCCGGCCGTAGCTGTATCCCTTCTACGCATTTCACTCACTTAACTCCAGAGGGCTCCAAAGTCAAAAAAACTACATACAGTTGCTTTATTCTTTTCTCATTTTTCAATATTTCATTTAAATTACTCTGAAGGAGAGTAACCAGACAAATGGAAAGAATTTGAATATTTCTGTTTGTCACAACAGATTAATTTGGTTCATTCCAGAGCTTTCAGGAGCTTCAGTCAGCAGAAGAAGTAACTGAGGAGGAAGAGGAAGATGACTGCGATATCTCTACTACAGAATCAGACAGCGATGAAGAGGAAACCACCATGTCTTCCATACATCATCAGACCAGGATGCAATGGGGAACATCAACATTACACTGCTGAAAACACATTCACACGCTCGAAAACACAACGCTTCTACCTGTAGCATTCTGTAGTGACCTGCAATACAAGCGAGTTGACATGCAAACACACTTCGAAAGACTTCGAAACAGCTCTGATCCTTTGTTTCTGATCGATACAGTTTTGGTGTGAGATGACAAACTAATAAAAGTCTGTCTTTTCCCTTTACACTCTCTGTCTCCGCTGGAGGACAGAATATGAGACAGTGAAGTCACAGAAGAACCTCTCGAGCAGCAGCCTGTTCAGGCTTTTGATTAAAGAGAGTTTCTTTTTTGAGGCCTCTACAGCGCATCTTATTTTCTCTCCCCTCACAGATAGCACAGGTACGTCTGCAAGATGTCTGTTGAAGATCGCTTCATCTGGAAAGCATCTGCTGTGAACAAACATCTGATAGACGCCTTTAAGATGTCAGTTTTACATACATTCTAATAACTTAGACATTTTCTAAACGTCTATTTGACATCTGATAGGAAAGGCCCTATAGACGTATTGCAGATGAGCAAACACTCTAAAAAATACGTCATGCAGATATAAATGTAGACGTCAAATAGACGTCTCCGTGATGTACAGTACACTACCAGTCAAAAGTTTTTAAATAAAAAAAAGCTTTTGTAACATTACACATTATACCATTCAAAAGCTTGGAGTCGGTATAATTTATTTTTGGGTTTTTTTATGCGGGGGGGGTTATAGAAATTAATACTTTTATTCAGCAAGGATGCTTTAAATTGATCAAAAGTCATGATAAAGACATTTATGTTAAGATTTCTATTTCAGATGAATGCTAACTAAGAAACCTGAAAAAATACTACTCAGCTGTTTTCAACATAATAATCAGAAATGTTTCTTGAGCAGCAAAGCAGCATATTAGAATGATTTCTGAAGGATCATATGACACTGAAGACTGGAGTAATGATGCTGGAAATTCAGCTTTGATCACAGAAATATAATTTACAGTTTAAAATATATTCAAATATAAAGCAGTCATTTTAAATAGTAAAAATATTTCACTATATTACTGCTTTTGCTGTACTTCGGATCAAATAAATGCAGGCTTGGTGAGCAGAAGAGACTTCTTTAGAAAAAAAAAACATTAAAAATCTTACTGTTCAAAAACTTTCGACTGGTAGTACACGGCAGATGCTTTCCAGATGAAGTGATCTTTAACAGACATCTTGCAGACGTACGTGTGCTATCTAACGTTTAATGTGAAACTATCATCTCTAATAAACCTGAAAACTCACGTCCTTGAAGAAAATATTTTTTTAAATCCGTACGTGCTCCTTTTTAAGTGTCGTCTTACTCCATCGGTCTCTCTTGTGTGTAACATGCGGTGCATTTGTGTGCGAGTGGTTTTGTAAATGACTTTTCTCTCATAAAATGCAAATGAATGGTTTATATCTGTGTTTGTACATCTTACCGACTCAATCTGCTCTTTTTTGTGGTCGCTGCTGGACTTTCTCTACATAAGTCAATAAAAACGGTTTTAAGAAATTGGTCACCTAATTCATTTTACTCATAAACGTGGCTGTTAAATGGTTGTTTTACTGGAATTTAACCACAATAAAGTCTATTATCGTCGCACTGGCACTGCAGACTGGTGAGACGCCATGTGAGTCACACAACAGCGACATCTAGTGGCGCAACATGTGTAGCACGTTCATATAGTCATTGTGTTCTCATATATTTTAGTAGCCTAATTGTCAGGTTGGGGGCAAGTGTCCTATATAGTTATATTTAAAGACAAAAAAAAAGGCCACAGTTTTTAGACTGGATGTCCTGTACAGAGCACATTCAGGGCTTTTTATAGATATCAAATGTTTGAAGGTTTGATCATGAACACACCTCCTTGGTCTTTAAATATTTAATTCAATTCAAGTTTATTTGTATAGCGCTTTTCACGAGGTGAGTCTAGAGGAAAGATTAAGATTATTAAATATGACGGATATTGACAGAATGATCAAATTTAGCACTCTTAGGGAAATATGATAATGTTTTGCAATTATTATTTAAATGACTCATTTTCAAATTGTTTGTCATAAACATCTCAGAAAAATGTTATGGGATTTCAAATCGGAATATGACTTTTTGTTACGAAACGGGGCATAATTTTCATACATGTCTTCTGTAGAGGACACCAGGACAAACATCATGTCAATCAGCCATTTTGGGGAGACACAAAAAATTATAGATCAATATTCCTATGAAATATGAGATATTCTTATGAAAATGTTGCCAAGTTATTACTGGCATTATTACACTTCTTGTTTTCATTATGGTTTGCCCCAAGAACACATTAATATGCAAATAAGATGCAATGTATAGAATGAGAATACCAATTTATGGACATTTTACGCACATATTCCATAAAGTACAGTAGTATATCAACTCATTCTGTTATATCTTTCATAACATAGTTGAGAATCATCTTTGTACAAAGTTTGGTTTAAAAGTAGCCTCAAACCTGAAAACTGATTGGTGAATGAAAAAAAAATAAAACACTGTTTTTGCCTATACATGCCTTTTAATGTCAATTTTTTTATTTTATTTTATTATTAGTTTTTTTTAATAACTTAGTCCTGGTGTCCTCTACAAAGGACATACAATAAAATATCTTTTTTCAAAAATATTTTTTTCTCCATTTGTTTTTTATGCTCCAACCAATGTAATGACAAAAACAAACAAAAAATTCACAAAGCTTTTTATTCTGGTTCTCAGGAGGATATTATACATTTTTAAATAAAGACATTATAACTGGTCATTCAAATGGTTTCCAACAAGAGTATTTAATCATGATGAGGATGTTGTTGTTGATGATGATGATTATAAAAAAACAATGACACATTCAATAAAATTGTGACAAATGTGTGACAACATGCCCCGTTAAAGGGTCAACATTCAAATAACTATCTTAATATATTGATGAGACATAGAATGTGTTATATCAAGTAAAATATAAATACATATTTCATATCTATCATATTCAAATATAAAAAAAAAATACTTAGCATAACTAGCTATTTACTGTTCAGCGGTGTTGCTTTTGGGTGTTGTTCTTCAGAAAACCCCAATGATCCATAAACGGAATAATATAAACCCGAAACCCGATTAGAAAGATGTAAATACAACATAAGCAGGTTAGTCAAAACTACTGTGAAAACGCACTTATAAACATGTCGTCACATCAGAATCAAACATTTGATTTTAAACGCAACTGAGACTACAGAAGTAAAAGAGAAGCAGACAGCGTTTGGCTTTGGAGTTTTATTTTTATTCACATTTCAAAGGTCACGAATGAACAAAGTCTTGTCTGCTGTCTTGCGGGTTTCTGTTGGATCCGTGAAAAAGACAAGCATCCATTTCATATAAAAATCAAATCTGTAAAAAAGTCTGGTTGACAGACGCTGTGGCACATTTCAAAGCCGCATATATACGCTAAAAACATCAGAAAACTGATTTAATCAGCTTCGTCATGAACACAAATGAAAGCAAACTCATAATAAACATGAACAGAAAAAGATTTTTAAAATTTCTCAGGCACTGCAGATGTGTATTAGTTAAAACTGGTGAAAGAATTAGAACCTGTTGTCTGGAATAAAATGCATTAGTTTAATATAATTATGTTGGATTTATGTCCAAGAAAGCTAGGTCCTTAGTGTTTAGATAAAAGTGAAAGAAAAAGCAAAAATCATCAGCTCATAAGAAAATTATTTCCATGGAAGACTTGAGTCATTCTCACACACAAATACAGACACCTTCTCATTACTCACCTCATAATCATGTATAAAACCAGATACTCGTCATCCGGCTGCTCAAATCTGTAGCGTCCGTCCCTACGACACTTAAAGTCTGTGCACAGCACAAAGCTTCTACAGCACTGCAGATCATTTCTGAGTGCATTTTCAGTGAATGTAGGTGATTTTTTAGCTGTGTGTGTTTGTGTCTCTCATTGGTACTGCAGGTAGCTCTTGAGCGTCTGTGGCAGTGGCAGAGACTGGATGTGATGGATTCGGTGGCGTCCCAGAGCCTGTCGTGCCGCCCTCCTGCACAGCTCCATCAGCGGCAGGGGTTCAGCTATGGGACAGAGCAGAGGTCAGTTAGGGCCAAGGGTCAAAGACCTCAAGCGATCATGTGAAAACACTCATTAGGACTTCAAAGACCAGCAATGATCCTTGATAAGCTGAATGATTCATGATGTTGCAAACGAACGGTTAAACATCTAGTTTAACATTGTAGTTTAACATCTGTTTAAAGTACAATTTACTTTTTAAATATAGTGTTGAAAATGATGACAAAGCATTGTGAGACATTAGTGGAACTTAAGAACTGACTTTAAACACTACCTGTTGAAAGTTAGGGGTCAGTATGATTATTTAAAAAAAAATATATAATAATCCTGAAATAAAATTCAGGAAGGATGCATTAAAATGATCAAAAGTGACAGTGTTTTATAGTTACAAAATATTTCTATTCCACATAAATGCTCTTCGTTTGAACTGAAATAAAAGTATCCATTTCCACAAAAATATTAAGAAGCAAAAACGGTTTTCAACATTGATCACAATAAGAAAATCAGTATATTAGAATGATTTCTGAAAGATCATGTGACACTGAAGACTGGAGTAATGATGCTGAGAATTCAGCTTTGATCACAGCAATAAATTACATTTTAAAATATTCAAATAGAATATTTAAAACAGTAATTTTTAATTGTAATTATATTTCATAATTATACAGTGTTTATTGTATTTTTTGGTGAGCAGGAGAGACTTTTCAAAAACATCAAAAAATAAATAAAAAATAAAAATAAAAAAAAGACCAACCCCAAACATTTCAACAGTAGTGAATACTGACTTTAAAAAAAAAAGAAAGAAAGAAATGTGATGTTAGTGAAAAGATCCTGCAACACAGCAAGTGAATTTTATAAAATAGGTGTGACTTGCATATCCAACTATATTTAGATCAACTGTAAGTAGGCTTTTGGGGGAAGAAAAAAGAAAAGAATAAAATGCTACTAAGTGTAGGATACGGCCCTTTTAAACGTTTCTGTAAAAAAACATGTAAAACCCCTATTAAATTGCCTTTTCAGAGAAGTTTGCTTGTGAAAGGAAAGGAAAGGACGTGATGTGTGGCCAAGTATGTGGCTCTGCATTTAACCCATTTAACACAGCAGTGGCTAGTCAATGCTGCAGCACCCGGGTAGCAGTTGGGGGCTCGGTGTCTTCCTCAAGGGTCTCACCTCAGTCGTGGTATTGAGGGTGGAAGAGAGCGCAGCTCATTCACTCCCCCCACCTACAA